GTGGCGCTGTAGCTCAAGTGGTAGAGCGCTCGCCTTGAGCTGAAGAGCTGAGGGACAGCGCCCAGGCCCAGAGTTCAAGCCCCACGACCGACAAAAAATAAAAAGAGGTCTTGAGTTCAAAAGTTCCAGTACTAAACAGAAAAAGAATCATATGGAAATATGAAAAAGGGGATGTAGGTGTACCACAAATAAGCAATACTGAGTTCAGTCTCCAGTGCACATATGAGTACACATGCACACACACATGCATGCATGTGTACACACATGCACAGGAAATAAAATTGATATAAAAGGGAGTTAAGAAATAAGGAGCTGGTAATCCTAGCTACTCAGGAGGCTGAGATTTGAGGATATAGGTTTGAAGCCAGCTGGGCAGCAAATTCCCGTGACTCTTATCTCCAATCAACCACTCAAAAACAGGAAGTAGAGCTGTGGATCAAAATGACAGAGTGCCAGCCTTGAGCCAAAGAGCTCAGGGACAGTGTCCAGCCCTTGAGTTCAAGCCCCAGAACCAACCAAAAAAAAAAAAGAAGGATAAAATAAGATTATAGGTTGATTATCTGTTATTCAAATGCTTGGGACTAAAAGTGCTTTGGATTTGGGAGATTTTTGGATCTTGGATTGTCATTAGTAAATGAACATTCTTAATGTGAAAACCTCAAATCTGAAACTGTTTTGGGGGAGAGCACTACTAACTGAACTCAGGCCTGTGCATATTTGCATGCTACCACTGAGCTACCTCCCTATACTACATCTGAAATTTTTTGAACATATACAAATGAGTAACTCCACTAATTTACAAATCTACCCTAATTGTAAGGATTTAGAACTTCTAATTGGAACCACCCCAGAGTTGACAGAATTCTACCACAGTATTACTCAAATAGAAGCAGCATGTTAGCTTTTATTTTTTAAGTATGTTTTCAACTAGGTGCCAGAGGTACACACCTATAGTTCTAGCTACTCAGGATTCTGAAATCTGAGGATTAAGATTCAAAGCAAAACCCGGTAAACAAAGCCAAGAGATTCTTATGTCCAATTAACTAGCAAAATACCAGAAGAGGAAGTGTGGCTCAAGTGTCAGTCTTGAGCAAAAAAAAGTTCAGGAACAGTGCTCAGGACCTGAGTTCAAGCCACAGGACTAGAACACACACATACACGCACACACACACATACATACATATACATACATACACACCTATTCTTTAAAAAAAAAAAAAACAGGGTCTCAATATGTAGTCCAAGCTTCCAAATGCTCGGATGAGAGTTGTGCACCACAATACCAGCTATAAATACTTTTTGTTGTTGGTGGTGGTTGTGGGGCTTGAATTCTGGGCCTGGGCACTGTCCCTCAGCTCTTAAGCTCAAGGCTTGTGCTCTACCACTTGAGCATTCCAGTAATTGGAGAGAAGAGTCTCACAGACTTTCTTGCCTGGGCTGGCTTTGAACTGCAATCCTCAGATCTCAGACTCCTAAGTAGCTAGTAAGCCACCAGCACCCAGCTTATACTTTTTAATATTTGTTTTATATATCATAATTTGGGCTCTGACTTATATATTCCTTAGAGAAATTACACATTTTAACACACATTAAATGCATCCCAAGATGATTTTCATTACAATACTTGTGGCAGTTTAGGAGAAAAAAAAACTACTGTACTTACAGAATTTATTCTGTGACAACAAAGAAATGAGATTAGTAAAATCTTTTTGGCCTCCAATAGTGTATCAGGCATGAAGTTTGTCAATGGTGTAAAATATTACCAACTTTGACATTATCTTTGCTACTCTGAGTTTTTAAATCTTTTCTTTACTATTTCATAAAACTTCTAAAACTGCTATTCAAGTCCTTAAACTCTGTGATATTTGCCTCTCTGTAGAGTGTTTACTCCTATTTGTAAGTGCCATGATAATATTATGAGAGTAGTTTTCAAATACAAAAGTTCTCTGAGATTGTCAAGTCTTTAGAATATATATGGCCCCTAGGAGTGAAACATAATGTAGAAATGTAAACTGTTCAAAAATCTTTGAAATAAAACCTACCTTTAAAATTAGGATTCACCAGTTCTTTACGATTGGAACACTGTATAGCATTTCCATAAACTAAATCTAAAGCACACAGCAGAAGATGGTAGGAATTGACCAAATCATCACTAATCATAGGAAAATTACCTGTGAGATTATAAAAGATTTAAAGGTTAAGTTACCATCAACTTTATACGTTAAAACAATTTATTCACTTAATGGTATTATACAACCCTGTACAAAGTTGACTCAAGGCTGGCATTAAATGTTGAGGCAAATTTGTAGTTTGAAATATTACTCTTACATTTAATAAATTTCTAAGAGTTTATAAGAAGGAAACTATTAAAAGTGCTATAGATTAATTCATATATTCATTAAAGAAGCATTTACTAAATATGTAATAGCAGACTAAACTTTATTATATTGGTCTAATCTTTGAAAATTCCCCCCCCCACAATATTATAAATTATCTCAAAGTGTAAAAAAATCATTTTACATGAAAACATTTTCTGCCATAAAACTTACTGGAAAGTCATAAAGAGCTGAAAAATGATTCATATAATTGTTTTTCTCACACATTTACATTTAAAAAGGCCAAAAACTTAATCAGAGCCTCAATGGTTGTTGTTTTTTGTTTTTTAGTGTGAGTCCCATGGGGCTTGAGCCATTAGTCTAGATTGAGCCTGGATCAAATTATTCAACCACTGAGATCATTGCATATACACACACAAAAAATATGTCAAGTTCTGTTCTTTTTGTTAATGAACTATAACCAAAATAAGGACAATAAAATTATTTTAAGCAGCTGGGTACCAGAGGCTCCTGTCTGTAATCTTAGCTACTTAGGAAGCTGATATCTAAGGATTGAGGTTCAAAGCCAGCCTGGGCAGGAAAATCCTAGAGACTTTTATCTCCAATTAAGCATGAAAAAGGCCAGAAATGACACTATGGCCCAAGTGGTAGAATGCTAACCTTGAGCAAAAAGAGCTCAGGGACAGTGCCTAGGCCTAGAGTTCAAATCACAGGACTAGCACACACAAACACATACACACACACACACACACAATTTTAAGTTTATATAGTACCAAATGCATATACATACAAAACAGATATAATATACACTTCTAAATATACATACACACACACACACACACACACACACAGAGATCTCTTTAAAACAAATCCTAGAAGCCAGGGTACCTGCCCAATACAATCATATGAAATGATTACTATAATATGTAATATCATCATGCAAGCTAAACTTGTGGTAGCCACTATAATGTTATATATTCCTCTTCCTTTATTCCATACCACTGATCCTGTCACTATTTTATTTATGTTTTATTTTACTTTTGCTGAAGACTGAACTGAGGGCTCATGGAATACTAAAGCAAATACTATACCACTTGAGCCACATCTCCAACCTAACATGTTTCCAAGCTAGGCACTCTGCTAATATTTGTAATCACAGCTACTCAGGACTTTTTTCAGCCCAGGCAGAAGATAGCAAGACTGTCTCAAAAATAAGCTGGGCATCATGGTGCACACCGATAATTCCAGTTATTCAGGAGGCAGAGATACCAGAATTGTGGTGTAAGCAGTCTGGAGCAAAGTCACAAGACTTGATCTGAAAAACGAACTAAAACCAAAAGGACTTGGGGGCATGGGTTAAGTGACAGTACTGACCTAGCAAGTGAGTGGCACTGAGTTCAATCTGCATGACCAAAAAGAGGAAGGGAAGGGAGAAAAGGAAAAAGAAGGGAGAGAAAGCTGTCAAGTATAATAGAAAGCATACTCAACAGCTCATATTTCTTATATTTCTTATAAATCACAAACATAGCTCAAAGAAAGGATGACTCTCACTTACCTAGTTAAAGAGGACCAGCTATACGTAAAAAACACCTAGAAATCAATGGCATGACACATCCTTGCCAGAAGCCTTTACAATCAACATGAAACCAGGATCCAAGAGATATGGGTTCAAATCCTAGCTCGGCTTCTGTTTTACAAGTCTAATCTTCAAGTTAGCTGAAATACTACATCTAGTGGTAAGAATCTCTTCTATGTAATACTCCCTTTTACATAACCTCTCTCTCTCTCTTTTTTTTTTTCTAGCGGGGCTTAAACTCAGGGCCTGGCTGTCCTTTAGCTTTTTCAAGGCTAGCACTATGTGTTGAGCTCTACTTTTAGCTTTTTGCTGGTTGACCAGTCTCAGACTTTCCTGCCCAGAATGGCTTCAAACCACGATCCTCAGATCTCAGCTATCAGAGTAGCTAGGATTATAGGAATGAGCCACTGGCACCCAACTTCACAGTTTCTTTTTTTGAAGTTTCTGTTTATTTTGGTCAACAGTGGCCCAAAAATATTAAGTGGAAATTTTCAGAAATACTTGAGGTTTTTGTTTTTAATGTGTTTATGTGCTGGTCCTTGGACTTGAGCTCAGGGCCTCAGAGTCTTATTTGGTTTTCCCTCAGGACTAGTGATCTGCCTCTTGCACCACACCTCCACTTCTGGCTTTTTGCCGGTTAAAGAGTCTCATCCTTGTCTACTTGGGTTAGTTCTGAAGCAAGATTCTCAGATCTCAGCCTCCTGAGCAGCTAAGATTATAGGTGTAGAACACTAGCACCCAGCACAACCTCTAAATTTTAAACTGCATGATGAAATCTCTCAGTGCTCTGTTGTCTGGCTCTTGGCTCTATCTTGCCTGAGATATGAATCATCTGTGTTTAGTTTGTTCATGTTATGTGTGTCACCCATCCATTAGTCACTTAGGAACCATCTTGGTTATCTGATCTACTGTCACAAGTAACCCTCAATTTATTAAGTAATCACACCACACAAATATAGCATGCAAACAAATTGGATATGCTAAAGAAAAGCCCTAAAGAACTTCCTTTAATTAAAAAAGTACAAGTTTTTACTAAAAAGAAAATTGCATCCTGAGGTTACTAAGATCTAGAATATAGCAAGTTATTTTGAGACCATGAGATCATATATAAAATATATTACTAAATTTTTTCTATTTTATTATCAAGTTCTACACTTGTGAAATTCCTTCTAGCTCCAGACATATTGTTTTCAACTCCACATTTTACAGCATTATTTAGTGGCAAAAGTACACTGCATAGACTACAGAAAAAGCTATAATCAGTAACTGGTATAACTATACTTTCTTTCTCCTTTTAGATGCTAAGAACTATTCCTACATAGAAATACTAAAGACTAAAGTACTAGAGAGTATTTCAGTTAATGCATATCTTAGACATACTGAATGAGAAAAACTGTGTCCAAGGCATTTGATTATATAGAAAGTAACATGAAATCCCCCCTCAACTAATAGCCTGATTAATAAATGGACAAAGAAGCTAAATAGAGACTTCTCAAAGAAGTAAGCATGGCCAATAAGCATATGAGGAAATGATCAACATTTCTGGCCATAAAGATATGTAAATCAAAATAACACTCAGATTCCAGCTTACCCTAGTAGGACTGGCCAGCACTGAGACTATGGACAATAGCAAATGTTGGTAGGTATGTGGGGTAAAAGGAACTGTTACATTATTGGTAGGAATGTAACCTAGTACAACCAGTCTTTGGTGATTTCTTAAAAAACTAAACATAAGGGGCTGGGAAGGTGGCTCAGTGGTAGAGTGCTTGCCTTGCACGAATGAGGCCCTGGGTTCGATTCCTCAGCACCACATAAGCAAAATAAAAAGAAAAAAAAAACCAAGAGAATAAACATTCCTTTAAAAAAAAAACTAAACATAAAATTACCTACCCAACACATTACAAGTCAGTGTATAGTAAAGACACCTACACATCCACGTTCATAATTGCCAAGTTGTGAGAACAGCCCAGATGTTTTACAATGGATAGCGGATCAAAAGAATGTGGTACATATGTACAATGGAATTATTCATCTATTAGAAAGACTATTAGAGACAAATGACTCATTTTCACTCATATGTGGAAGCTAGGACTATAAAATAAAAACATGCATGATAACATATACAAAGCTCTATGCATATACACACAAACTAACAAAAGGATTGTATATTTAGGGAAGGAGTGCAGCAAAGGTGTAACTTTTCCTACACAATTAATGAACTGTTGATCAAAATGAATACCAGGAAGAGGAAAAATGTTTTGTGGATAAGGGAAGGGGGAGGAAGCAAAAGAATGAAGGAAGAAAGGTTGGCAAATGCAGTCATGACATTCAATGTACATTATATAAAAATTGAACTACGTAACTTGAGGGTAAGAATAGTAGAGAGAAAAATGGGGGAGAAGAATGGAAGGGGTGACTTCAATCAAGATTCATTGTATTCATAACCTGACTTATGAAATTGTAACCTCTTTGTACAATTATTTAATATAATTTTTTAATGTTTTGTGTTTTTTTTTTTTTTAAGTAGGGGCTGGGAAGGTGGCTCAGTGATAGAGTGATTGCCTTGCATGCCTGAGGCCCTAGGTTCGATTCCTCAGCACCTCATAAACAGAAAAAGCCAGAAGTGGCACTGTGGCTTAAGTGGTAGAGTGCTAGCCTGAGCTGAAGGACAGCACCCAGACCTAGATTTCAGGACCCATGACCAAAAAAAAAAGTAATCTGAGCGTTTCTTAAGATAATCAGTCATGACTAAGACATGTCAGTCCCACTCAGTTGAATGAGACATGTCTCATTAAAAAAAAAAAAAAACCAACACTGAAAATACAACTTAATAACAGAATAAGGTGACTTCAGTTCATAATTCAGAAGAATAGCTTTGGGTCAATAGGTTGTTGACTAAGAACAAAATTAAAGGATTTCCCATTTAATAAGAGAAGATTTGGATATTATGGAATTCAAAAGACTTTTCACTTAAAGCATCTGAGGGCCAGGCACTAAAGGCTCATGTCTATAATCTTAGCTACTCAGGAGTTTGAGATCTGAGGATCACAGTTTGAAGCCAGCCTAGGCAGGGATGTCCATGAAACTCCAATTAATCACCAAAAAGTTGAGCTATAGCTCAAATGGAAGAGTGCCATATTTGAGCACAAAAGCTGAGGAACAGTGCCCAGACGCTAGGTTTAAGCCCCAGGTCCAGCATCAAAAACTAAACTAAAAAAAAAAATCTAAGGTAAAAACCCTTGAGAAATTTTCAGTGAGGATCTCTCTTCCAGATATGTATTACAGGTTGGTAAAATAATATCTGAAAATTTAAGTGAACTAATTAAAATCTAAACATTACTTTTTCTTACCTTTTGCATATATAAAAAGCACCCAACAAAAATGGAAAATTTCAGACACGGTACAGGGCTGTCGCCTTTGGGGAAGGAAAAAAAAGTTATGAGACAAACAGAAGAATTTAGAAAAAGACATCCCAAGTGATTGTAAGTCAGGTGTAAAACAAAGCTCATACAAGAGGAGTAATACCATATTCAGCTTCCTGGGGAAGATGTGTAAGAAATTCTGACCCAACCATATACTGGAAGAAAATAGTGGGGAGCCAGAGCAAGAACTCATGACAGAAAGAAAACAATTCTGAAGATTATTTAAACTTTTTGAAGTCAAGATATGTAAGGCAGAAAATAAAAATAATAGTTTTTTTATGAGATTAGCATAGCTAATCCTGCTTTGAGACCCCTGTGGATAGCTAGATATTTCTCCATTTCCTCCCCTATCGCTGCTGAGCAAGTGTTAGCCCTCTCCCCTAAATACATTCTAGACTTAAGTCAAAGCACAAAAGGTCTTTTTAATGAAAACTCTTGCCTACCTATATCCATTACACTTCCACATATTAAGAGTACCTGTTGTGGGCTGGGAATGTGGCTCAGTGGTAGAGTGCTTGCTTAGCATGCATGAAGCCCTGGTTTCGATTCCTCAGTACCACATAAACAGAAAAAGCTGGAAGTGGCTCCATGGCTCAAGTGATAGAATGCTAGCCTTGAGCTGAAGAGCTCAGGGATAGCATCCAGGCCCAGAGTTCAAGCCCTATGGCTGGCAAAAAAAAAAAAAAGAATACCTGTTGTATTTTGCTGTTTGCACTTTAAGCTTGGCTTTCCTGCCAACATCTCTTCCATTGTTTGGACAGGCCATCTGTGATCTCCACATAACATCAGTCTTATGCTAACAAGGACCCAAGAAGAGCAAAGTACCCCAGAGAAGATCAAGAGACTAGCTTCAGTTCCAGAGCTATCATTAACTAGGTACAGTTGCCTTCTCTGGGCCTTCATCCATCCATAGACTATTCTAAACTGGGTAAAATGGCTCACACCTGTAATCATAGCTACTTAAAAAAGATGTGATTGAGAGATTTGAGAAAAAAGTTAACAAGACCCTCCTTCATCTCAAGCAATAGCTAGATGTAAAAGTGCATGCCTATCACCACAAACTTTGCAAAGCTGAGATCAGTGGAACTGTGGTTCCAGGATAGTATAAGCAAAAAAATTTTTAAGACTCTTATCTCACCAGAAAAATCTTTGTGCTGAGGTATACATCTGTCATCTCAGCTATGATGGGAATCATACATAGTCAAAGCCCAGTCCAGGCCTGCTTAAAATCAGAGGAAAAAGGGCAGAGGTTTGGCTTAGTACAGTACCAGCCTCACAAGTGCTTAGTCCTGAGTTCAAACCCTTACTGCCAAAACAAAGGGGGAAAAAAAAAGAGATAGAGATTCTGCTTGAGTATTATACTCTAATTTACTAATTCATGGCAAAGATTAAATGTGAGAACTCTGCTTCAAAGAGTAGCCTCCTTAATATAGTACATGATAAACTATTTCTAGTTTTGATTATTCTCAAGATAAAATTTTAATTTTTAGCTTGCAACACTTAAGCTACTCTAAATTCTAGCTCATTGTAACTTAAGAACCCTGGAAAAAACTGGACTAATTTACTTGTTCTAAAAGCTCTTCTTGCTCTGATGCTTCTGTGTCACATCTTGCAATTTCCTCTACATAGAAAGCTCTATTATCTCCAGATTCACCTGTCAAAATCAGACCCATCCTTCACTACCTGCCTCTACTTATTCCATGTAACCTTATTTGACTGGCTCATCCAGATATAGCTATTATCTATTGCATTCATGTGGCTTTTATAATCTGTTGTACTGAACAAACTTGAATTCTTTATAAAACTTGCCTCCTCTCCACATTTTAGTCTCAGCTCTCAAAAGACAGTTTGTGGTTTTTTTGTTTTTAAACATCTGTTGTTCTGCATAATATCTATAAAGTACTTCCTGTGGGTAAGGGCTCAATAAATACTCAAGATACAAACTTCCAAATGATAGTGTGAAAGAGACAGTATATGGTCATGGTAAAGCATATGGCTATTACAGCTGGACTACTTTAGTTCCAAAAACAGCTCCATGCTTTCCAGTTATATCAATTGGTTGAACTTACTTAAAACTCACAGGGGCTTATTTTTACTTAACCTCCTAGAAGCTTATTTTCCCCATCTGTAACTAAAGTCTCAGCCTCATAAGGTTGTCATAAGGATTAACTGAGATAACAGAAGAGTTCTGGACCCAAAATGAACACATAGTAAATGTCATAAATTGTTAGTAATGCTGTTAGAAGCAAATGCTAATAAAAATTAGAATAAGCCAGTGTGGTTGTGTATGTCTACAATCTCAGCACACAGAAGGTTGAAGTAGGAAGATCACAAAGCCCTGGGTTTGACATCTAGCATCAAAAAGGGGGAGAAGGGTAAAATAGAATGACAAATATTAAATTTTTAAAGTAATTTTACAGTTCCTTATTAGAATTTCCTAATCAACATAAAACAAGTACAATATATAATCATTTTCTAGACATTCCAAAGAAAATAGATACTCTGTATCTCTAAATAATCACACTAAGCTGGGTGCTGATGGTTCATGCCTGTAATCAAGTAAATTTGAGGATCACATTTCAAAGCCAGCCTGAGCAGGAAAGTCTGTAAGACTTTTTTATTTTTTTCCTAGGTGGTGGGGCTTGAACTCTGGGCCTGGGTGCTGTCCCTCAGCTCTTCAGCTCAAGGCCAGCACTCTACCACTTGAACCACAGTGCCATTTCCAGTTTTCTGGTGGTTAACTGGAGAAAAGAGTCTCGTGGACTTTGCTGCCCATGCTAGCTTTGAACCATGATCCTCAGATCTCAGCCTCCTGAGTAGCTAGGATTACAGGTGTGAGCACCCAGTGCCGGGCTTTATAAGACTCTTATCTCAGATAAATTACTCAGAAAAAGTTGAAAGTGGTGTTGTGGCTCAAATAATAGAGAGCTAGTCTTGAGCAGAAGCAGCTCAGGCTCTGAGTTCAAGTCTCAGAACTGGTCCTCCTCACCCCCCAAAAAAAGGTCAGACTAGCTGAGAATCAAAACAAATGCTGTGTCCAAAATTTAGAATGCTTAATTGTAAATCCTCAGCTCACCAAAATTTCAAATAAGTTGCAACAATTACTTCCACATTAGTGCACACCATATAAAAATATGAATGTTTTGCTAATATCTACTATATGTTTTATGATATATGAATATTTATATAATACTTACCATACTATATATATATTATATATGTACTGGGGCTTGATTCAGGGCCTGGTGCTGTCCACTTAGCTTTATCACTCAAGGCTGATACTCTACTACCTGACAACTCCACTTCCAGTTTCTTTGTTTTGGGGGAGGGTTGTTTAGTGATTAAGAATAAAACTCACACAGATTTCCTGCCCAGGCTGTTTTCAAACCATGACCCTCAGAGATCTCAAGCTTCCTAAATAGTCAGGATAACAGGACTGAACCACTACCACCAAGCTTATTTTTTTTTTTTTTTTGTCGGTCGTGGGGCTTGAACTCTGGGCTTGGGTGCTGACCCTCAGCTCTCCAGCTCAAAGCAAGCACTCTACCACTTGAGCTATAGCACCACTTCCGGCTTTTCTGAGTGCTTATTGGACATAAGAGTTTCATGGAGTTTCCCGCCCAGGCTGGCTTTGAACTGCAATCCTTAGATCTCAGCCTCCTGAGTAGCTAGGATTACAGGCGTGAGCCACTGGTGCCTGGCCATATTTTTAAGTTTATACTTACTGTAAACATCATTCACAATTTGAGAAACTTTTATATTAAAAAAAAACTAATATTATAAGTCAAATAATTTTAAATCTTTCCCTATACTTTATCAACACTTTTCCTGTGTTCTTTTAAGAAAAATTTCCATGCTTTATGAAAAAACTTTCATGTTAAAGGAGGAAAATTTATATGCCATAATTCCCCTCAGTTATAAGGAAAGGTAGAAGGCACTAAGCCAGAAAGTGTTACTCTTTGCAGACCTATCAAAAAGAACAAATTCTTAACACTTTCAGTTTTCATATCCTCCCTCAATCCCATTTCTCTACTCTCAACTATATATATATCAAAATGCATAGAGATATTACTCGCTTTTGAAATAGAAATCAAGTAATAGTCTATGTAGTCAGTAGTAGAAAACATAGTGGTCAATATATGTCTGGTCCAAGATTATTAAGAGAAAAGTCATGGAGAAAAAGATTACTTATGAAATCATGTCACTTTTTGGAGACGATAAAAAACCTTGAGATATGAAAACTGCAGCACAGAAAGGTATATTCTTAAATAACAAATATAAAACATACCTTTGTTTTCTTCCTCTTTGATGACGAGGCTGCTCCTCTTGGGGATATTTGAAAATGTCTTGAAAAATTGGTTCATATTTCTTAAAAATTACAGCTGAAACAGTAAAGTTTCTTTCCAATCTCTCAGTCCGTTCTCTGAAATGTGGGGGTAGATTTGCCATATCTTCCCACTTCTTCATCTTGTTAAAAAATTCAATTAAGCTGACAGTAAAGATTTTAAAAAATAGTATTTTTCAGAACGTAAAGTATATCAATATATGTAAATTAAATAAAAATTAACTCATTAAATTATATTACATTTAGAGAGTTATATAAAACCACAACTCATTTCTTTGACTAGCTTACTACAAACTAGCTTACTACTCTGATCTTCCCTTTTGTTTATAGATTAGCTGAGGGTTTTTTGTTTTTTTTTATTACAGGGTGTGTGTTTGTGTGTATATGTGTGTTTATTTTTGTTATGGGGAGTGTGTTTGTGTATGGTTTTTTATTATGGGGGGGAGTGTGTTTGTGTATGGTTTTTTATTATGGGTGTGTATGCACCCGCACACGCGCCCACATGTGCACATGCATGCATACCAATCCTTAGGCTTGAACTCAGAGGCTGGGTGCTGTCCCTGAGCTGTTTTTGCTCAAGGCTAGCAGCTCTAGCACTTGAGCCACACACAATTCCACTTCCAGATTTTTTTTTTATATTGGTACTTTATTGGAGGTAAGAATCTCATGGATTTTCCTGCCCAGGCTGACTTCAACCCACGATCCTCATATCTGAATCTCCTGAGTAGTTAGGATTATAGGCATGAGCCACCAGCACCTGGAAGTACCATGAAATATTTTTTAAAGACAAAGTAAAATTAGTAGCTCAGTGGTAGAATGCCTGCCTAGCAAAACCAAGGCCCTGAGCTCCATCCCCACCCCTGAAATATTTTTTAAAAACAAAGTAAAATTAGTAGCTCAGTGGTAGAATGCCTGCCTAGCAAAACCAAAGCCCTGAGCTCCATCCCCACCCCTGAAGAGCCGTCTAGAGGAAACAACACAAGAACCAACATAGACATACCCAGCTTCCAGGACTAACAAATATTAATATAGGGATAAAAACTGCCAAGCTTGCTTTAAATTCTTTTAAGAGCTAAAATATTATTGAAACAGCCAAAATTCTTACTAGGATTCCTCCCTAATACCATTCTCTACTCTTCTCCCCAAAGATAATCACCATTCTAAAGTTAGATTCCTTTCCATCTATGTTTTCCTACTTACTAGACACACAGAACCATGTTGTATGTGCTTTCACATTTTATATAAAATACAGTAAGTATACTGTAAGCAGCATTCTGAAACTGCTACTTACAATGTTTCTGAGGTTCATTAATGTTGCTACATGTGGATCTGACCTACTTCTTGATTTTCTAAAAACATTCCATTTTTTTGGCATTCATTTAATTGTATAGGTTGTTTCTAATTTTTATGGCAAAAAACGTTAAATCATCATACATGCATGTAGGAGTTTCTTTAGGGATTACCCCAAGTGGAGAATGTGACCTTCATTTTACTACACATTCCATATATATTTTGAGGGGGGCGGGGGTCTGGTCATGGGGCCTGAACTCTGGGCCTGGGTGCTGTCGCTCAGCTCTTCAGCTCAAGGCTAGCGCTCTACCACTTGAGCCACTGTGCCACTTCCAGCTTTTTTCTTTTTTGCTTATGTGGTGCTGAGGAATTGAACCCAGGGCCTCATGCATGCAAGGCAAGCGCTCTACCACTGAGCCACCTTCCCAGACCCTCCATATATGTTAAGACACAAGTCTTGTGTGTACACATCTAAGCATAATACCATTTATTTGGTACTTCATTTACCTTTTCAACAGAGTACCTACAAAAGTTTCTCAATATCTTTAAGTTTATCCCAATATTATATAGTAAGTTAGAACCATTAAAATTAATTCTTCCAAAAAAATGCCTAATAACTACAATGCAAATATTTTATCCAATTAGTAAAATATGACTATCAACTTTGAGGTGCAAAGGAAAATCAAGATATAGCTTAAAACTCAGCAATCCATAAGTACAAATCCTCAGAAACCAATTAACAGAGAATAACTGTTTCATTACAACTATGACTTTTGAGCTTTTTTTTTTAAATCATATCCACACTTCATTTTTAAAACTGTAAAACAGTTACCTCTGTTCTGAACAGCGCAGGATTCTAGTTAAAGACACATAGTTTCCTTCAACTGTCCCTTTGCTTACAGTGGGAACAGATTTTCTGCAAGCCACATATAAGGCACATGCTAACCAATGAAGATCATTTCCCTGTAAAAGAAAAAAGAGTTTTAGCTAAGGCGCTCTATGCTTCAGTATAAAAATTCTTTATGTTTCAGCTGAAAGTGTTTATATGTTTATGGGGTACTGTTTTCCAATGATGGCCCTGCCCTACATGCTCTTCATACAATGTGACACTGACATTCTTCTGTGGGAAGTGTTCCCTCACCTTGAAGGTGGGCAGGGCCTGAATCCTCTTACAGTGGGTGGCCACCACACCTATTAACGTAGATAGAAGTGATGTTATATAATTCAACAATCACAGATTCCATCTGGCTCTTTCAGGTCATGTCCTTTGGAATTCCTAAACCCACCTGTAAAAACTCTGGCTGCCTTTAACTACCATTTTGGAGACAGATCCTTTGGAGTGGTCAGTTATATATAGACATCCCAAAAGCCCCAACTGTGCCAGTCCCCAGCTGCTCAAGTCTTCCAGGTTAGGAATCAGAAATTGTAAAGCAGAAACATGGCATCCTCATTGTGCCCTGTCTGAATTTCTGACCCACAGAATTTGTGGGCAAAACAAAATATTGTTTTATGTCACTTAGGATAATTTGGTTCACGACTATACTGGCTGAAATAATATTGTTACTTACAAATTTTTACATTTTTGCTTAAAATCTAGAACACTAGAAGCAAATACAAAATTTAGTTTGAATGTACACTCTTGCCACTAACTTTACACTTCATCAAAACACACTGTAAGTGTTAAATTGAAGGGAAGTAGTGTATCTTATTATGCTGGTTTAAATTAAAAATAGAAACTGGAAAGTCTCTATTGTTTATTTTCATATACATTAGCTCAAAACACAATTATAGTATAATATACTTTTCTATTAAAAAATAAAAGAAAATGATTTTATAAATTTGTGTATGTGATGCTAAAGATTTACACATGCTAAGCAAGCATTCTACCACTACAGCTACATCTTCAGCCCCATGGTTTTATAATATTCTTCCCTTGCTTTTTGTATTGAATTGTTCTGACCTTTGACAATGCAAGGAAACTGAACTCAGAGCCCCAACTCACTAGGCAAATAGTCTACCACTTAAGCCATACTCAGTCCTCATTTATAAGATCTCACAATAAATTTAGCTTCATAACTATTCTGTTTCTTTACTATACATGCAGATCTGAGGAAATACAGTCACAACATTATCTTGTATTTTAATAAATGGTCTAAAGAAGATGATCTATTATGGTCTATTTTGGTTGTAGAGAATTTTCAACTAAAAAGGAAGAAAAAAATTAGTCTTGTATATGAGAATTTAATAGTGCTTGCAGGACAAATGGAATGGTAGAGGGATATATAAAGTAATCTGTACTAAAGAGGTTACAGACAACAGAAGACTACACTCTAGGTTTATTTTAATCCTAAAAAAGTGTTAAGTCCATATGCTAAAAATAAGCACCCTCAAAAATACAACTCATGGCCACACAACCTATAATGTCAAGCAGATCAGCTGAAAAGTCTGCTATACACTAGGGTTTAACACCAGGAGCTAATTATTTAGTTTTAGAGAGTTCATTTTGCAAGGCCTGAGAGCGTTTACTTAATTTTGTACTTTCTTTGCTTTATTCTTGAGCTGCAAGAATAAAACAAAGAAAATACAAAATTTCAAAAAATACAATTCTATTACTAGTATGAAGAGTTAAACATACTGTGTGCTTTATTTTGTATTTCATACTTCCAGGAGACTGCCAGGCCACACTGACAAGCTCCCTGTTTATCCCTAGCACCTATAATACTATGGCAAATAATAAGCTCTCAGAAAAATAATTGATAAATGAACAAATATTCATGCATTTGTTGAGTTCATCAGGCTAAGAAGCTGAGACTAAAGTCTCACTAATCAGTAAAATCAAGTAATGAAATACATTTCCAAAAATAAGTTACTATCTATTATTTATCACTTGCTGTATAACAACAGCTCTAAGGTGAAACATTTCAACCATATGGTGATTGGAATAATTTATAGGATCTTGTTTTGTTTTTTTTTGGTCGGTCGCGGGGCTTGAACTCTAGATCTGGGCGCTGTCCCTGAGCTCCTCAGCTCCAGGCTATCACTCTACCACTTAAGCCACAGCGCCACTTCCGGTTTTCTGGTGGTTATTTGGAGATAAGAGTCTCACAGACGTTCCTGTCTGGGCTGGCTTTGAATCGCGATCCTCTTGAGCTAGGATTACAGATGTGAGCCACCAGCACCTGATTTATAGGATCTTACTGATGACAAACAGAGCTTGTGTGGAGGTACATAATGCCTTTCAAGCTGAAAGAGTCCTTCTCTTTGCCGAACTAAAGGAAACCAGAGAGATCTGAGAGGAATGAATTGGACCTCTTAGCGTTCTCAGCCTAAAAACAAGCTTTGTGTGCAGACAACTACACTTTCCCTTACCTGTTCAAAGTCACATGGCTCTGTTAAGATTCTAAAGCCATCATATCACTGTCTTTATTTTGTAGATATCACAATGGGGAGAGGGAACCAGTAAATGAATTGAAATCTATTTATATATGAATAGACTAATAGGCTGAAAAATATCTAATCAGCGGATGCACATAAACACTGTGTTATAGTTAACACCTTCACATCTTGAACCGTTTTGTCCTACTTTCCTTATGTTTTCTAAGTACTTGAGAAAAATCAAATGGCCGGTAAATGTTTAAAAACTGCACGCCCGGGCAACCAAACAGCTGATAAACAGTAAGGACTTCCGTGTCGGTTCCCATTGGCCCACGAAGGGGAGGTGCCTGCGGAGTTGACAGGCACTGGCTAGAAGGGCCTTCTCTCCCCCTCCCCCTTCTCTCCCCTCCGTCCTCCCCCATCCCCCCCCGCCCCCCGGTCAGAGGAAGCCCCGGTGGAAAGAAAGACACCCAACCAACCCGTGTCACCACGAAACCCGAAAGGTCGTTGAGACAGACGCGGCCCCGATTCCCACCAACCGAGGAGGAAAGATCGGTCTCGGTTTGTTTACAACCTAACTAAACACACCTCTCGACGCCAGGCGTGGGCGCTCGGGGACGCGAGGTCCGGGCGGAGGCACCGGCGGGGTTGCCCACAGCTGAAGGGGAAGCGCTCGGGAGAGCTCCGAGGCGCCGCCGGCCCCACTCCTCCGCGGGTCCACCCCGAGCACCTGTCCCCGGACCCCCGCGGGGCGGGGCGGGGCGGGGCGGGGCCCACGGGCTGCGCACA